GGGGGGGGGGGGAGGCGAGGGAACTCGGACCCTCGCTGTGCAACGGATGCGTTGGAGGATGTCCCTTTCGATAACCTTTGGACGTTTCACCAGTCATTCGCATCTGTTCCTCAGAAGCTCACCACTCACCGGCTTCCTAGTGAACGCTTTGTTTGGTTGTAGACGAGACCATTCGAATAGTTTTTTCATCAGCGCGTATTTTGTTAATAAGCATAATGTGAAGTTTTTTAAAGTGTGTAATTGGGCTAAATACCTCACAAGACTTCCCTAAATGCCTTTCGTTGAGATTGGCGTTTTCCCCAAAAATTTTGAAATTTTTAAAGGACTTGTATTGTTCACGAGTCTAAAGATTGGATGCTCTGTTGCCCTTTCTGGTCCCGAAGAAGGCCACGGCATCACGGCCAAAGCCGATAAACCAGCCCACGACGGGGTGTCGCCGGTCATTCAAGAGCAATTCCATGAAAATATACCTGTTAAACATAATTTTAATCCTGCCTTCCGCGAAAGTTGTTGATAGAATGATTATATGTGGCTGTAATGCTGTCGCTAAATGTAGTGTGCATATTTATTCTGGTAAAATTCTGTCCAATCGGTCCGGCTGTGGATAGATTCCACAATGAAATAATAAGTAAACTTTGCAATCGGTGTATATTCTCTGTGTTGACCTTTAACGGTGACACGGTGTCTCGTTTCCCCGTCCGTCGTTATGAGTACTAAGCGGGTGGCCTTGATCGCGCAAACCGTTTGTCTTCTTTGAATGCGACTTCGAGGAGCGGCGCCTTTCAGAGATAAGATTAACTAATCTGGTAACAATGCGACTTTAATCTCGCATCTTGTGACGTGAGCTCTTATTATGACGGACGACTTTGCCTTGAGTAACCATTTTGCTTCATAATTGACGGTTCTGGGTCATGTAATATGATACATAATATTATAATATTACATGTTTCATATGTTTTCACATTAGCAGTTGTAATGACTAAATAATACGCATGGTATTTGAATGTTAATTTGTGTACACCGTCTCCCTTTTCATTCTCTTTGCGTTTATTCAGCCAAGTTTCCTTTTCTCTCCCAATCTCGGTTCTTTCTGTTGTTGTCGATGCTCTCCATAACCGAAATCTTGACGGACACTGTGATAAGATACACCTGTGTTTATAGGACCCTTATTCACCATTTATAAGAGTCCTTTGGTGCGTCTGATACGACCTTGTGATTGGTTATAAAAACATTGTTTCTCGGGCTTCATGATCGTATATGACCTTGTGAACGAATCCTGTGGATGTTCGCGGCGCAGAGGGCCCCAGGAGGAGTCGAATCCGATATC